AAATATATATTGCACATACCATATATATATATATATATATATATATATATATATATATATATATATATATATATATATATCTTACTATATTATTATACAAACCTTACTATTTCTAAAAATAGATTTAAGACGTCCAAACCATTAAGCTAATAGTACAAATAATCAACAATAAAATTAAAATAATACAACCCATAATGCTATGGGTACAAGTATTTAAAACACCTTTGAATTAGTATCCCCTACTTTAAGGATCGAATCAGCGCATATTGACTAAGCTCCTCCCGGTCTTTCCCGATATAAGCAAATCCCTTTTTTTTTTTGCTAAAACTGAACGATTCTATGTTCATATAGTACGAAGACTTATTCAAATTGGAAGAAGTACAATTTTCTTCTTTATGATCCTCTCCCAGATTATATTTGAACGATTGTAAATATTATCAAAAGCCCTAGAGTCGCCCACCACCTCACAAAACCTAAAGCCAATCTTCACCATAAATGTTGCTGCCTCCCACCATCTTCGACACCTCCATCAGCCGCCTACAAAATACTTGAAAGCATCACATCTAACTTCGTTGAAACTCTCGTAACCATCACCTCCATCGACCGTAGTTGGAGCTCTAGTCACAGACAAGCACACAACTCGTATTGGTCATTTCTTTTTCTCTCTTCCTCCATCTCTCTAGAAACGCAGGGTTACGACCAAGGTTTCTCACCCACTATCCCTCTCCCTTTCTCTCTGTAATAATATGTGTATCAGTGTCGTGGATCTATTATTTCTTTTGTCTTCACCTTTTTATTATTATTATTGTAGGTTCTTCATTTATGAGCATGTTCTCGATTTCTTATTGTGATTTAATATGAGTTTTTTGAACTTTTGGAGTTTTAGTAGCTACATGACACCAAGACCTACAACCGTAGATGTCTTCAGGTATTTTGTTTGTCCCTTGTAATTCCCATCTTGATTTCCGTTGCCCTCTCTCAAATTTGATTTCACCCGTATTTTCCTCCCATCAGATGGAGAGGGATATGATGAACACATGTTTTGACCCATAATTTCTAAAATCAGATGGAGATGGATTCGATTAACCCACATTTGTCACCACCATCTTCACCTTCTATTGGTTATACTTCCTCGCCAACATTTTTGGCCCATCTTTCCTTTTTCATTTGAAGGAAGTAATTTAGTTTTTTGTAAAATGGTTACAGGTACATGTGGTAGGTGGTTCTTGAGATGGTTCTTCTTGATCTAGCTCCAAATCTGCTCTCATGTAAGAAGAAAAAATAATCAGAATCAAAACATTTGCAACCAATGTAAATCACTTTTAATATAATTGTACGTGTTTGTGTGATCATCTCGTGAACTGAATGAGTGGAGTCATTCATCCAAGGAAAACATTTTTTCTGGATGTTGTTGTCATTGTGGAACCCCTGTTATGGCTTCATCTTAAAGTTTTAAACGTATCTTGACCAGTTGACCCTAATCTCTCTATCCGATTCTTAGTTCTTCATCATGTTTCATCATGAAAATGATTTTGATATTTTCAGTTTTAGTTTCAATTTTAGGTCTGTGGTCTTATATTCAGGTAGCTAGGATGTGATATGTATAAGTGTGTTTGGAGATGGAGGTGGATCTGGGCTCAAAAGAATTGGAGTGAAAACATCAAAGATGTGCCCAAGTGGATCATAGACACCACTCACTTTGAACCACTTGTATGATTTTCAACCATTAAAATCGTTAGTTTTTCATTATATGCTTCTTATTTTTGTTTATGTGTGTATGTTATTTAATTAGTTCTTGACCTTAAAAGAGATGACATTCAAAATGGAGAAAGGTCAAGCCAATGAAGAGACATGATAGGAGAACAAGGGCTTTTGGTAACTGGCTCTAAATTTCTGATGTTATAATTTAGCACCTGATTTAGAATAATGCAGACTCACACAAATTTAGTAGTTACTTGTTATTCAGGTTTGTAAAGCTTTGTTAAGTGTTTAACCTCTTAGCTAATTGTTATTCTAGGTAACATACTTTTAATAATCTTTACATGAAATGATGATGCAAACTTACAGAAATTTAACAGTTATATAAGATCAGGGTTCCTTATTTTGACGAGAACAACTGTTCATGTGTCTGTTCCCAAAACTACATTCTCTTTTGGTGCATTTTTTTCCTATGATTTTCAAGTAAGATACCCCTTAGATTACAAAGTTTGGCATTTTCAAAGTTATGTTATAACAATCAGTCACTATTCACAAAATGTTTAACATTTTTACTTGTTTTCTTTATTTTGGTTAGGAACCTTTACTGAAGGATGTTTTTGGTGGTTGGAATTGACAATGAGATTGAGAAGGAAACATGTTAGCATTTTCCTGCTGCAGAATATTTTCAACCTTAAAGTTAAAACTGAAGGCTCCCATGGTTGGTATTGGCAAATTGGGGGTAAGCACTTTCTTACCATCTCTTTTAATTTTTGGTTGTTTTATGTGCTGCTGTTGTGTGTTAGTGGTTATGAGTGGAGTGGCCATGTGTGTATATATGCGACTATTTGATCTTTTTTATCTACTCTTCAACATCAAATTAGTTCTAAAATACCAAAAGCCGTAAATATTTTTTTTACTATTTATGTATCAACACTTTTTGTGCTAGAATGAAAATTAAAATTATATATATTTGTTGAAATGTTTGTCTTTTAGTAACAAAATGTTTTACCTCCGTTTGTCTGGTGCAGGTTAGTCGAGAGAGACTTTGTTACTGAGTTGCTTTATTTTCACATTTAGAACTTAAGAGCACCAGCTTTGTTCATTTGTACCTTCAATGTTGTATGTAAATTGTCATATTTGGAAATTATGTATAAACCCTTAATGCTCGATGCTTATTTGTACTAGAGCAACAACCTTGTGTTGATTTTAGGGCCATGACTTTAGTTGAAGTGTACATTTCAACAACTTAGATATATTTTAAGCTTTATGCCCTTGAAAAGTAGGAAATCCAAAGTTGCATTTTACATGATTTCAAGTAATTATATTCAAAGAGTTTTAATTTTTCTATTTTTTAAATCTAGAAAGATAATCATAAATTTGAAAATTTAAAATTCAAAAAGAACAAAACATCGATCTAGCTAATATTAAATAATAAATGAGAATCAATATTTCAATTTACGTTACATTAAATTTCGATATCTTATAAAATTTCATATACATCTAACACTTCACAAAACAAATAATGGTTATCTATTTTAACTTTACATCGTCTATTTAATCATATAGTTATGTATATATTTGTTTTAGAACATAAATTCAAAATCAAAACATGTATAAATATATAATTTATCAGTAACAAAATATATATTTTATGGTATATATAACAATCTATCTATTTGATGATTTATATGGTTTTATACATATTTGTTTTAGTAAGATAGATTTTGACAAAATGGTAGCGTATCTATGTTTTTAAATCAAACCGAAACATATAATTATTTTAACCAAAAAGGCAACATATTTTTTTATTTTGAACCTTAGTTGGACTGATTTTTATTTTTATTTCATTATTCTGTTTAATGATCTAAGCAGTTGATTAATTGATATAAACATTCACTAATTTACTAAATTTATCATGTTACTTTTGTTTTAACGATATGGTATTTATGTTTGACTATATTAAATTTAAACCATTAGCGTTATATAAACTTAAACAAAGGTACAACCAAAAAGAAGCTATCAACCTAGCATTAAAAAAAAACAAAAATATTTTAAAGGAAACTGATTTCCTCCAGAAAACTATTTGTTGTTTTCCAAATGGAAACTAATCACCTAAAATAAACTATTCGGCAAAAAAACTATCGCCCGCCTCTTTAGACATTCTTTGGAATATTGCATGTTTCCGGTAGGCAACCAATTTCTGAAAGGAAATTATTTTCCTAAACAAAGCTATTCACCAACTTTTTTTTGTCACCTCTGTCTCTTTAGAATATAACATGTTTCAGAATGAAAAAAAAAATCAACATATCGTATTTTGAACTCATTAGAAATAATTGTCGCAACAAACTATTCGCCACCACCGCCGCTTTGCGCGGGTAACGGCTAGTATATATATATATATATATATATATATATATATATATATATATATATATATATATATATATATATATATATATATATCGGACACAAAAAATGAAAGTAATTGGACACGAAAATGAAACTAATCGTCACTTGAAAACTATATGTCGAAAAGAACTATCTCGTGCCGCCGCATCGCGCGGGTACCCTACTAGTATATATATATATATAGATATATATATATATATATATATATATATATATATATAACCTTACTTTTGTATTTGTGGGTCAAGGCTCACTTTTGCCCTATATTGGCTACGCCCTTGTATATATACATAAATCGCAACTCTTTAACATTTTTGGAAACAAAGTTCGTCACCGACTCTTTATAATTAATACTATCTAATACATCGTTCTTAATAGCTATCATTGCCAACTTATTAAGTATTTTTTGTGACATTAGAGTTAATTAATCATCTAAATATTTTTGTTCATTCACATATATATATATATATATATATATATATATATATATATATATATATATATATAATATATATATATATATATATATATATATATAAGAAAATGGGCCCCTTATAACGTAGATTGTGTGCAGCCGCGACGTCCGATACCCTCCTTCAAAGACGCCCCGAATAGACCAGACGAGACTCTGAATCAATGAGTGACTCAACAGGATATCCCACACAAAGACATCTTAGATTGAAAATGGAGCGCCGATGCTTGAAGCCCAAAAGATACATTATTCATCAAACCGATTTAACACGAACCAATACCGAATACATATCGAGTCCAGCACCAGCACTAAATCCGGACTCAACAGTCCATATCAAGTCCATTGGGTCAGCTCGGCTCATTTTAAAGCCCGCTAGGCCCATTGCTAGTTGCGTAATAGAGCTAATCACGGCGAGTCTCTCCGGCGACCCCTTAACTCTCCGACGAGTTCTCTATCACACACAGACATGGCTCCGAAGAAGAAGCAGCAGCAGCAGCAGCGGAAGTCAGCTTCTTCATCGTCATCTACCTCATCCAAAAGCAAGCCTCAGGCTTCTACCGGTCCCAAACTCCAAATATCTGCAGAGAACGAAAACCGGCTGCGACGGCTTTTACTTAACTCTGGTCGTTCGACGCCAGCTCCGGTTCATGAAGATTCTAGCCTTACCAAGGCGCAGAAGGCCAAAAAACTGTACTCTGTTTATGAGAAGCTCTCTTGCGAAGGTTTCACTGATGATCATATCGAACGTGCTCTCTCTCATCTTAAGGTCTTCAACTAATCTGAGTCAACTAACTTTATCTCTCAACTGGTTACGGAGGTTTAGCAGAAAGTAGGATGTAACTACACCGAATTTAACTGCCAATACTACCAGGAATAGGAAAATGTTGAGTGAGCAACAATTCCATTTCAATTTTGCATTTGAGAAGAACTAGGTTTTCACTCTAGGAGCAAATGAATTTGGGAGGTTTAGCTTCGTAAAGTTTCCGATAGTGCACATTTCTCTGTTTCTTTCAACGTCTCAGAAGACTAGTCTGATTTGTTCCTCTTTTATTTGTTGAAAAGGAAAGTGCTACTTTTGAGGCTGCTTTAGACTGGCTATGCTTGATTTTATCACCAAATGAGTTGCCATTGAAGTTTCGCAGTAGCAGTGCAGTTCTTCCAGATGAGGGTATGCCCAAAGCGATTTATCATGTACTCTAATATATATTTGTTGCTACTCTTGTTCTTCAAATTAGATTGCCTTAGTGAAAACAACTATTATACACTCTTGTGCTCTATTGACATAACAGGTGGTTCTGTCGGCATCATATCAACTGCACGACATGATTGGACCCCTTTGGAGGATTCATCAGTTCCAACTGAAAATGAAATGCCAAAAATATCAATCAAGAGCAAGGGGCAGAAGAAAGTTGATTCATTGGATTCTTTCCAGAAGTCTCAAGCAGATTGGATTCGTCAGTATATGGAGCAACAAGAAGAGGTACTCAATCAGGGTACTATAGGACATTAACCTTATATTTTGCATGATTGCTCATGACTCATTCATCTTGCATACTATTGTAGGATGAATACGAAACTTGGGAAGATGCTGTGGTCGATAAGGTATTATTGATGGTATATATATTGGCATGTATATATCTATTTTATATTGATTTCTCTTTTTAGATCTCAGAGCCAAGAAGCTATGATTCTATCCGTGAGGAATATCATAGTGCTCGGCTACAAGCTATAAATGCCAAAGAAAAAGGGGATAAGAATGGTCAGCAGCAATCTGGTCAAATAATTCGTAAACTTAAGCAAGAGTTGGCTGATTTAGGTTAGCATGAGCTCACAATTCATGTCTTCTAACTTCATTTCTCTGTAGATATTTAATATTACATTTTGTGAAATTTTTCTGCAGGTATATCTGTTGATACCTTGGCTGCAGAGTTTGAGAGTCGCTATCGTGTCATTGAGGAATCTTCTTGTGAGCCCAAAAATCTTGATGCTGGTGTATGTGAGAAAGATGGTGACATGTGTTCTTCTATTGAGCAAATAGACTTGAAAGACAACGGAGCTGTTTCAGAGAGTTGTTCAGAAGATGTCTCAACCAAGGATATTTCAGTAAATGTTCCCAGCCATGATGGAGCTGTTGTGGATGATGACTCTGGAGATATTGAGCTTGGTGATATGTTTCTAGAAGATTCATCATCTGGTCAAGTTTTGGACGCCAGGATTGCAGAGCTGCAGAAGAAGGAGAAGATGAAGGAGTTGACTAGTGAAAAAAACTTGGAAAAGTTAGAGGGAATCTGGAAGAAGGTAACACTTGCTTCATATGTCTATTGAGAATGTTTGTGTTTGCCTCCTCTTTCTTTTTCTTTTTAGATGAAGAGCTCCATCATCACATATGATCTGATTTATAACATTCTGTGGAACTTTAGTATGACAGGAAATAATAGATAAATAGGATGTAGATACTGCAAGGAATCAAAAGATGTATCATCATCTAAAAAGTGAACATTTAGGAACAAATAGGTACTGCTATCCAATTTGTAGGCAGAAGTTATAATTTATAACTCTACCTTTCAAATGAAAGCTCGCAGCGTCACATAACATAAAGTTGTCAAGCATGTCATCTAATTAATGATTTGATTCCACATTATGATTCCTTATTCCAATCATACCGTTCTTTATCACATTGGGTTCTAAGAAAAACCCCTAATTTAAACCCTAATGTGCTTATATTTGCAATTTAGTGCATCAATACCATTAGCATCTCAATAATAAAGTTAACCCATTGTTAATAGTAGTGTTTTTCCCTTGTAAGTTGTAATTTGAGTTCAAAGTAGTATTCTCGTGTGAGTTTAACATATACATCATGTACCCCAAGATAACCCTTCATTGCATGATGACTTCTCAATGCTTGCTCAAAGGAGTAAAAAAAACCTTCTCTATCATAAATTATTCTTTTCATGTGTTGCCCTTTATTTATATCTATATCTATTTACCTTCTTTCTTATGATGTTTGTTTACAAATATAGGGGGACCCACTAAAGATTCCTAAAGCCATTCTTCACCAGCTTTGTCAAAGATCTGGATGGGAGGCACCAAAGTATAATAAAGTACAAAGCACAGGAGAAGGAAGTAGTTATACAGTTAGTGTGATACGTAAAGCTACTGGGAGGGGTAAAAACAGGAAAGTTGGAGGACTTACTACCCTTCAACTACCTACTCCTGGAGAAACATTTGAAACTGCAGAGGTATATTTTAAAGCATGACTTTTTATTGACAAGAAAGATTGTTTGTCCACATTTCTGATATTTTCTGTTCTAGGATGCACAAAACAGGGTTGCTGCATTTGCTTTATATCAGCTCTTTCCTGACATACCTGTTCACTTGATGATGTCAGATCCATATGCCACACTTGTTTTACGATGGCTGGAAGGTAAATAAATAGGAACTTTAGAGTTATTTATTTCTTTTACCATAATTTTTTCAAAAACCTGCAGGGGACTTATCAGGAGATGTGAAAAACAATGAAGTAGACAGAAGGGCTGGTTTTGTGGATTCTTTACTCAATACCAATGTATCTGATGCTGCTGTTTCTGTCGACCCATCTGTAAAAAATGATTCTCAAATATCTCATGTTCAAGAAGATAAAAGTTACAGATCTGTTGGTGTTAATACGAATGTTGAAAGTATGTTTTTTTTTTTTTGTACCTTCATAATCTTACAATAGGTATATAAGTTTTGACATGTGAACTCCTTCTTTTGGGTTCTTTTTGTAGGTAATCATAAACAGGTGGAGAGTTCTTATCTTAAAAAGCAACAAGAGAGCAAGAGAAAACTGAAGAAGTATGAGGTTTGTATATTTACTCTTTATGAAACTCTTTTTATTGATGGAAAAAAGAAGGTAGGCGGCATTTTACATGATATATTGCCATTGTTTTTATAGGACATGTTAAAAGTTAGAGCTGCACTCCCTATTGCTGAGCTGAAAGGCGAAATTTTACATCTGTTAAAAGACAATGATGTCCTTGTTATCTGTGGAGAAACAGGTTGTGGGAAAACAACTCAGGTGAAAACTAATCCTTACGCTTTAATTTGTTGAAGTTATTGTAGATCCCAGACAATGACCAAATGTGGAATTGATTTGAATTATGAACAAGAACACACAATAAAACACACAGTAATGAAGTGAGTAAATCTGGTGTGGAATGATTCTATTGGTAGAGATCTTGTTTACAAACTAGATTGAGGAAATTAATATGTCTACATATATATACAAGAGAAACATTACCTAGTATTTCATGTAGGTTCCACAATTTATCTTGGATGGCATGATCGAAGGGGATCGTGGTGGTATTTGTAACATTGTGTGCACACAACCACGGAGGATAGCGGTTAGTCGACATTTTGTAATATTATTAATTTATTATTCACATAAAATATAATAATGAAATTGGGAAATGTTTGTTTTGTACTTTTTATAGGCGATTTCTGTTGCTGAAAGAGTTGCTGATGAACGATGTGAATCTTCACCAGGTTCTAAAGATTCTTTGGTTGGTTATCAAGTGCGTCTTGATAGTGCAAGGTGACTAAAATATATACCACTTATGTTAATTTATCTGTCAACAAAATTTTCATTTTTAAATAGAATATTTATGTATTAAACCATCCATTCTCATACTGACACGTGGCATGATCTTTTCTGTTTCCAGACATGAGAGAACAAAGCTTCTGTTTTGTACAACTGGCATTCTGTTGAGGATGATTGTGGTGCGCTTGTTCTTATTCAATAGAGAATTTCAGTTAATGTTTAGGATTAGAATTATGTATTGTTTTTTTTTTTTTTTATTACACAATTCTTTTAATTTCAAACTGCAGGGAAACAAAAGCTTTGCTGATATAACTCATGTCATAGTTGATGAAGTGCATGAACGTTCTCTCTTGGTGAGTTAGTGAGATTATATTTGGTATATCAATTAATTGGTGGGATTATAATTTCTTATGTCTATTTTTTATAACTTTTATTTTGCAACAGGGTGATTTTCTACTAATTATTTTGAAGAATTTTATAGAGAAGCAATCTGCTCAAAGCACACAAAAGCTGAAAGTTATCCTTATGTATGTATGATCACATGTATGCTGAAACTCACAACATGTCATAAATCTTTTTATTCATAATTTAATTTGTTTTCCAGGTCAGCAACAGTCGATTCACAGCTATTTTCTCATTACTTTGGTGATTGCCCTGTTATTCATGCACAAGGCAGAACACATCCTGTAACAACTCATTTCCTTGAGGACATTCATGAAAGTATAGATTATAAGCTTGCTTCTGATTCCCTAGCTTCTTTGAGATCCAATGCACCAAAACAGAAGGTATTTTACAATTTATATATATCATTAATATATAATATATTATAATTATATATTGATTTCTTGACTTCAGGGTGCTGCTGTTGACAACCATAGGGGAAAGAAGAATCTAGTCTTATCTGGATGGGGTGATGACTCTGTTTTATCTGAAGGCTATATAAACCCGTATTATGTTTCAGAAAATTATCAAACATACAGCGAGCAAACTCAGCAAAATCTGGTAAATGGTCTTACAATAAATTGTAAAAAAGAAACACAACACGCTTTTTGAGTTTGCCTTTTACAAATTCTGTAACTTTTTGAACAGAGAAAGCTGAATGAAGATGTTATTGATTACGATCTTCTCGAGGACCTGATTTGTCACATCGATAAAACTTACCCCGAGGGTGCAATATTGGTCTTTCTACCAGTAAGTTTATAATGATCTTATGTTGTATATTGTTATGATTTTCTGTATGATAATTTATATACAAGTATAAGAATAAGATAAATTTGTTTGTTGCAACTTGCAACAGGGAGTTTCTGAAATTCACACATTGCTTGATAAGTTAGCTGCTTCTTACCAATTCCGTGGTGTAGCATCAGAATGGCTTCTACCATTGCATTCAAACATTGCAGCATCTGAGCAGAAAAAAGTGTTTCAAAGACCTCCTGATGATATTCGTAAGGTAAATTACACCATAGGTTTCTTTGCTTTTGTCCTTATCAAAGAGGCATTTTCGACTTTTACTATATAGTAAACCATATTTATTAGAGTTGTTCAACTTGGAATTAGTAACATCCTTTCGGTCTGTTGTTAGTACTTTTGCTTATTTTATCCAACATCTATCTTTGGTTTCTAATTAAAATTTTCCTTAACATTGTAAAATGTTTTTTTTTATATTTCAGGTAATAATAGCCACAAATATTGCAGAAACTAGTATCACAATAGACGATGTAGTCTATGTCATCGACTGTGGCAAACATAAAGAGAATCGTTACAATCCACGCAAGGTTTGTTGATTCATTACATAATCATTAATCATATAATAAATTATGTAGTACAATTTATTAATTATTGTAGAAAATGTTTTTGTGTTTTTATGATGTCATTAGAAACTGTCAAGTATGGTTGAAGATTGGATCTCTAGAGCTAATGCAAGACAAAGAAGGGGAAGAGCCGGACGTGTAAAACCAGGAATTTGTTTTTGCTTGTATACACGTTACAGATTTGAAAAGTTTATGCGCCCATTTCAGGTTTCTTTATTATTATTATTATTATTATGGTTATATTTATGCTTTTTTTTGTGGGACCCACTTTAATTTAATATGGTTGTTTTTCTTGTTTGAAGCTCCCAGAGATGCTGCGGATGCCATTGGTGGAATTGTGTCTACAAATTAAATTACTTTCTCTTGGTCCAATTATGCCATTCTTACAAAAGGTAATTTCATTTCATATATGTAGTATTAGGAGTTATTTTTTTATTGATAATCATGTTTAAAAATGTGAATATCTTTATAAAATATTCGACTTTGAATTACATAAATCTCAACAAATAAATAAAATAGTCGATAGTTATTTTTGAAAATAAACTGTGAGTTACAACAGTTCTTAAATAAACAGTCATTTGCTATTTACCATTATTTTTATACAGAAGGGTAAAATGGTCATTTACTCAGAATCAGGCATCTTATTGATATTTATGTTTTTTTTCCCTTAAATAATAATATGTATCTTGTGATTAATCATGGTCTTAGGCTCTTGAACCTCCAACTGAAGAAGCCATTACTTCAGCAATTTCATTGTTATATGAGGTTGGTGCTGTTGAAGGTGATGAAGAATTGACACCTCTTGGGTATCATTTAGCAAAACTCCCTGTTGATGTGTTAATTGGAAAGGTATGCATGCAGTTGCACTCTTAATTTCTTATATTTTTCATATCTTTTGTAATTGAATTTATTTAAATTAAACATAATATGCGTTCTTGATGTTTCTTTCAATACAGATGATGTTATATGGTGGAATATTCGGTTGCTTATCACCAATCCTCTCTATCTCAGCGTTTTTAAGCTACAAATCACCCTTTGTATACCCAAAGGACGAGGTTTTTTACTTCTTTCTTTATCATTCAAAATACTCTTTATCTTTTTCTTGAACGAAAAATAATAAAATAAAATATTTAAACTTCAGAGACATGCTGTTGAGAGAGCAAAGTTGGCTCTGATGACTGATAGGGTAGGTGGTACAAATGATCCGGATAATGGGAATCGCCAGTCTGACCATTTGGTAATGATGATCGCGTATAAAAAATGGGACAAAATTTTACATGAGGTCAGTTCATTTTTTTTTTTTTAATAATTATTTTAAAATCCTGAAATGTTCATCTTACTAGTTCTCTTTTTGCAGAATGGAGCTAATGCTGCTGAACGATTCTGCAAATCAAATTTTTTAAGCAGCTCTGTTATGTACATGATAAGGTTTGGCATATTGTATTTAGGGTCCCCCCCCCCCCCCCCCCCCCCCCCCCCCCCCCCCCCCCCCCCCCCCCCCCCCCCCCCCTTCAATAAGTCCTATATGGTTTATAGTGGCTGAATAGGTAACAATGTCTGTCTGGATAAAGTGTTGTATGCATAAAGTCTGTTTCTTTTATAGATCTAATGAATTATCTTAATGAGAGACTAAATGATCATTTTATCCTTACATTCCAAAAAAAAAAAAAAAAACAAATTTCACAATATTCATCAGTTTTAACGTGAGAGGAGTTGGGAGGATAAACAAAGGTCAAATAGGTAAAGGGTTAATGTCTTAATACATTAAGTCAGTTTTTTTTTAGGCTTAAGTCATTATGTTTGGATTGAGTAAAAAAGAAACAGCCATGTATAACTATATATTTCCAGATTAAGTGCTTAAACCATTAATCTCCTTAACTCGAAAAGAAAAAAACCACTTGGAGTCTTTACTTCATAACTTGCCCTAATTTTCTAATTTATACACCTACATGTTATAGGGACATGAGGGTACAATTTGGAACATTGTTGGCAGACATTGGTCTCATTGACCTCCCAAAAAATTATCAGGTAACTTCATTTATATTTTTTAAAATAACTTATATATATGCATATATTATTATTTATAATTGGGTGTATGCTCTTTTGTCAGATTGGGGGTAAATGGAAAGAGAAACTCGACTCTTGGTTTTCAGATACTTCACAAACATTCAATGTTTATTCAGACCACTCTCCACTTGTGAAGGTAATTTTTCTATTCGTTTTTCTTATCACTAATAGAAGGGTATAAAAGTAAAAATTCAGGGGCGGTTTTTTATTTAAAAAATATATGTATATTTGCAGGCGTTGCTTTGTGCTGGTTTATATCCTAATGTAGCTGCTACAGAACAAGGTATCTCTGAGAAATCTTTGGGTACCCTTAGACAGACTGTGGGTCCCACAACTGATGATTCTAATGTATGGTTTGATGGAAGAAGGGTAGTCCATGTTCACCCTTCTTCTGTTAATAGCAACTCAAGAAAATTTCAGTACCCGTTTCTTGTTTTCCTTGAAAAGGTATGTATGTCTCCATTGTTCTTGTTCATCTTTTGGCTAAATGTTAGAAATAGCAACATACTTTCATTTATTTTTGTTATTTATAACATCTTGCTTTCATTTCATTCTATTACAATATTGTACTTTGAAAAATGCACAACCCAATTATAGCATTGTACTTTCAAAAAAAAAAATCTTTTTGTTATGATATTATACTTTGAAAAACCTACCCAATTATGTATTAGGAAGAAATGAAAGCAAAGAATAAACAAAAAAAATTCTTTTTATCCTATTTTATTTTTTTTTTAAATTTTGTAGGTTGAGACAACCAAGGTATTTCTTCGAGATACAACCATCACTTCCCCCTACTCTATTTTGCTGTTTGGTGGCTCTATGAACATTCAACACCAGGTATAAAACAAGGGTATTTTGGTCTTTTCACTAAAAAAAATGAAATTCAATTCCTTCCACCCCAGGAATTCAATGGTGAAATCCATCCATCAACCATAATTTTTCAAGAATTCCAACGGAATTGAAACACACCACGGAATAGAATCATGAATTCCATTCCGGCTTTTATAATTGGATTCCAGTTAATTAATTATATTTGCTATTTGCAGACTGGTGTAGTAACCATAGACGGTTGGTTAAAAATGGCTGCACCAGCTCAAACTGCAGTCCTCTTCAAGGAACTTCGGCTTACCCTTCATGCAATTTTGAAGGAGCTAATTAGGAACCCACAGGTATCATTTCTTTAAAGTAAATTACATTTTTAGTCCCCGAGTATAACTGATTTTTTCAAATCGTGGTCCCACAAAGTTTTCTCTTGCAAATTTGGTCCTTGAAACGGTTCCCAAACACATAGTCGTTTTACTTGATTGCGAAAATCAGCTATACTCAAGGACCAAAAATGTAATCTACTTTTTTTCTTTATTTTGCTTCTAATTTATGGTTACTTTATGTCTTTATCTGATTATATTATTTGTGTTGTTATTTTGCAGACTGGGAATATTGCTGAAAATAGTGTCATCCAGTCTATAGTTCATTTACTATTAGAAGAAGATAAACCAAAAACTTGATATGCTAAAAACTAAAAAGTCTCATTCAATTCCTAGCTGACACATATTAGCTTTTGACATTGAATGATGATAAATTGATAATTAAGACGTACATGTACAACTTCATAATTTTATGTTTAAAGAGAAAAAGAATAAAGTACATGTGTAAATTAGTTTCTTTGTACTTGATATATATATTTTTGGAATATATAAACAACTAAGGGGTTGTTCACAAGTGTTTTTCTTTTTGAGTCATCAAAAATAGATACACGGTTGTGATAAAATGTGGTGCAATGGATAATGTTTGTATGGGCTTCTGCTACAGACAATCATCGTTCTTAACAACTTCTTTTACTTTCCGGCTATTTGAGAGTTGAGTCAAAGTTCTGCTCTAGTTAATGTAATTATAATAATTCTTTTGAGCTATTTAAGCTTTCGATCGAACCCCCCCCCCCCCCCCCCCCCCCCCCCAACCCCCATTGGGGGCTCTGTTTTAATTATATAAATATAATAAACAATAACATGATTTTAAGCTGTCAAAATTCAGCGAAACATAATGTTTTTAAGATGTTAATATAATATTTTTAAGATGTTATCACATTTTTGTTTACTGCATAAATTTTTCCATGTGGTATGAACTTTTTCAAGGTTTTAGTCCAAATTCTGACGTCTTTGGCTTCGTGGTCTTTTTGACCATGTTTCTATGTGGAAATGGTCCCCCCAACTTAACTCTCATTAAGTTGCTGTTAACCCCTTAATGTGCCTCCCACGTGAGAGTATATTCATCCTTACACCTTTTAGGGACCATTTTTGTAGATGAAAAAAATTATATCCCCTTTAAATATGTTCCCCACCATTGCGACCTTCCCCACACGTCCCTCTTCTTCCCTTTCTTCTTCTTGAGCTCTTACAATAACAATGGTGGTTTGTTTTTATGGAAAGCGTGCAATGGTGAAAACATCATGGAACTTACTGAATCCCGGAAGGAGATTTTATGCTTGCCCTATGAACGATTTTGTTTGTGTGTTTATTGGGTGGCTTGACCTACCAATGTGTGCTAGGGCTAAAGCCAACATACCTGGTCTGCTAAGAATTTTGAATAGAGTGCAGGAATGGTGCAATTGATTGGTTAGAAGTATCAACATGCCAGAGGAACAATACAATGGACTGATAAGCAGGAACGTGACAAATTGCAATGCACTAAAGGATAAATCTTTGAAGCTGAAAATCTATCGATTTGCAAGTTGGTTTATGTTTGTGATTGTTATGTTTGGTATTTGGTCTGTGTAGGGATTACAGTTAAACAAATGGGGGGGGGGGAGAGGTTGATAAGTGATCAAGAGTAATAGTATAAAAATAGGGTTTTTGTTGTAAGTTGATTGATCATGTTTGTTATGAATTATGTTGTTAATCATATATATGGTATGTTGTTATGAATTATGATTTGATTACGTTTTTATGTATTATGTTTTTAATGATATGCATGGTATGAAAGTATGAAAATGTGACAAAATAAGCACATCAATAGAACCAAAAGTACGTACCAAAATATGTATCAAAGTATAACCAAAATGTACCAAAATAAGCACATTACCAAAATATGCATCAAAGTATGACCAAAATGTACCAAAATAAGCACATCAATAAAACCAAAAGTACATTATCAAAACATGTATCATAATTTAACCAACTTGCAATGTCATGTGTATAAAAATTTGACCAAAATGCATATTTCATTAACCACATCAGTAGAACCATAAATACATTACCAAAATAAGTATAATGTGTAATTACACCATACATAATCACATCATTACAACCAAAATACAATCAAAGTGTCATTGCACCATACATAAAAGTGTAACCATAAAAGTGCCATCCCTCCCTTTGTCTGTCTTCACATTAAACATTTCACACATGTTTGAAATCAACACATCAGAAATTGCTCTTCCTGTTGTACATGACAATAACATAGAATTAATACAATTAATGGAAATTGAAATATATAATTACGATATTTACCATATTTACCTGAAAAATGACTTTTTTCCTAGTGTGTAGGAGGAATCTGCTTCAACCACTCACATGCCTCCCTATCATAGTAGCCAAACTCCCTCATCAAATGGTCAAATTCAGTAATGGTGGTTGTTGATGCACACCCTCCATAAGTGGTCCCTATAGTCAGTTTGTTTCCACCTCCTTCTCATATTGTCATGAATATGTATGAGACAATATCTATGCTCAACATTAGGAAACAATCGAGCAATTGCAGGCATTAAAACCTACATGAATCAAAAGTTAATAACTAGAATTAAAAACATACATTGAAAATAACCAATTGTATAAGTATGCCTTATCTTTTTCCTATCGGTTATGAAAGTAAAATTTGAGTTTTTTCCAAGCTCCAAGTCACCCCAAGGTTTTCTAAAAACCACTTCCAGCTACTTGTTTTTTCAGACTCAACAGTTGCATATGCCAAGGGGTAAATTCCATTATTGGAATCCAGACCTACTGCTGAACGAACCTAACTAGGGAATGGGCCTTTCATGAAGGCACCATCTGTAGCACCTGGTTCTTGGTACGTATTCTTTTATTAATTCTTTAGATATTTTTCATTTTTGGCCTTGGACTCGGCGAGTTGAAGGACCAACTCGCCGAGTAGGAGCGAGAGGGGACGCGAGACTTAAGTGATGGACTCGGCGAGTCGGGTCCCGGACTCGGCGAGTAGGCCCTGTTGGGACAAAAACCCTAATCCGAGGGTTTGCACCCTATTTAAACACCTTAACTCGGCCTCGTTCGTCCCATTTGATCCCAGAAGACCCCCATAGCAAACCCTAGCCGTTTTTAAGCAATCCAAGGCATTTGGAGTGATTTTGGTGCTTTTGTGATCCAAGGAAGGAAGGAAAAGCTTGAAGGATCAAGAGGAGGCTAGAAGGATTCGGTTTTGAGCATCATTTGCAGCCTACAGAAGGTATAAAGTCTATACCTTGCTTGCTCTTTTGATAGATCCCTTTTGGTGGAGTTTTAGGGCTTTTCTAAGCCATTTTGGTCACCAACCATGATTGCAAGCATGGTTGGGGGTTGGTGTTTCGGATCTAGGTCCTTAGAGGGGTTACAAGGCAGAAAGGAGTGGCTTTTGCACTCAAAGAAGGCCCCATGCATTGTAAGAGCTTGTTTTAGGACCTTTTGAGCTCAAAGTCCCATGCAAGCACGTAAAGGTTGTAACTTTACGTGCTAGGTCGATTGTAGAAGCATAGATCTATCTTTTGATCGAAGGTTGTACATCAGAAATCGAAGTTTTAGTGAGGGGAGGTGACCGACTCGACGAGTCCATTCTTGGACTCGGCGAGTCCAATGTTCTGTCCCATAGCAGTGAGGGTCAAAAGGACCCAGTTGAGTGTGGAAAGGTTTTAGGGAGTCCCGGGGAGTGACCCAACGTTCTGGACTAAGCCATTGTTCTGGAAATTCATGGGACTCGGCGAGTGCATGAGCAGACTCGGCGAGTCCAAGGCAATCTTCTTAAGGATGAAGATGAACTCGACGAGTTGTTCATCAACTCGGCGAGTCGAGGACAGAACTTGTTCATCAGATGAAGGTGGACTCGACGAGTTGTTCATCAACTCGGCGAGTCGGATGAGTTTTCATGAGATGTTCATAGGAGGGAAGAACTCGTCGAGTTGACGGCCCAACTCGACGAGTGGGGTCATGGATGAGGACGAGTAAAGGGTGAGGGACTCGGCGATTTGACGACCCAACTCGGCGAGTCCGGTCAACTAGAAGTTGACTTTGACTTGGACTTGGTTGGGGGTAAAATGGTCATTTTACCCTAAGAACAGTTAGCAGTGTATGACTAAGTGTTTTGTGGGAATTATAGCCGGAGGATTTCCGGAGCAGCAGCAGCGGCAGCAGTCAGAGGATTTCCACACAGATCGGCAGCTACTACGAGGTGAGTTACCTTCCAGTAGCGGTGGGTCTACGGCCACAATGCCGGCCCACCAGTAGGAGTCTACGGCCACAATGCCGGCCCACCAGTAGGAGTTGTATGTTGGATGATTGTCTTTGTGATATCATCTAGGTTTGCTACTACCTGATATGTTATGTGCTAGTATGGTATGATGTTATATGCTAGTAGCAGTAGGGGAGATAGTCCCCAGTATCCGGTCGACAGGACCGAAGGGGTAGGCCAGCACCCAGATATGCTAGGCAGTATGTGATTTATGTTTATATGCTAGGGTTTTATGTGGTAGTGGTAAGGGGTGAAATAGTCCCCAGTATCCGGTCGACAGGACCGAAGGGGAGGCCAGCACCCAGATATGCTAGGCAGTATCCGGTCGACAGGACCGAAGGGGAGGCCAGCACCCAGATATGCTAGGCAGTATCCGGTCGACATGACCGAAGGGGAGGCCAGCACCTAGATATGCTAGGCAGTATCCGGTCGGAAGGACCGAAGGGGTAGGTCGGGCACCCAGATATGCCTGACAGTATTCGTAGGTTATGTGATTGTATGGTATGTGGTACGATGGGGGAACTCACTAAGCTTCGTGCTTACAGTTTACAGTTTTGTTTTCAGGTACCTCTTCATCGAAGGGGAAGGAGCTGGCGCGGTAGCGGCACATCATACACGCACATTGTTTTCCGCACCATGAGTTATTCTGGGATTTTGTACTCTGACATTATGGTTGTTTTATGTTTTGGTTTCAGACACGAAATATGTTTATGAAATGATATGATCAAACGATGTTTATTCACAAATGTTTTCCAAAGTGTTGATTTAAAAATGAAATTTTTGGACGTGAAAATTGGGCTGTTACACCATCCAAACCTAATAAATCCCTAAGTCATGCCTTGAAACCTTTTTTTTAATGGACCCAAGCAAACATAAATCCATCTAAATTTCCTAGTAGGAGAAGCATGGTTAGGCTCAGAACATACATCTATCTTCACTGTGGTGTCTGGGTTGGTAGCTTGAAGTTCAAGAACATCGTCCCTCAACAGTTCATACTGTTTTGTGTAGTCACCAGTAACATGTTTTATTTCCAAGTCTTTTGTGTAGTCCTTCCTTTAATTATTTTTTACTTTTAAATTTCTGACCAATAGTGAAAGATACCTTGTGTTTTTCCCGAAGGTTGCACCTTTTTTCTTTTCCCAAATTTTTGATAAGAGCTCTTCT